ATATGTATTTTCAAAAAGGTTATTATCAAGGAAATGGCTTACAATTACAGAGTTCCAGGTCCCCAGTGAAGAGTGAGAGGAATAGTCCCACCTAGTTCTGGTAGCGTAGTGGTTATGAATCAGGCTGCGAGCCGCAAGGTCAGCAGTTCAAAACTACCAGCGTTTCCGCGGGAGAAAGAGGAGGCGGTCTGCTCCCGTAAAGATTTACAGCCTCGGAAACCTGGTACAGGGTCGCTATGAGTCGGAACCGACTCCATGGCACATAACAACAACAACAACAACAGTCATTATATTGGACTTCTGGTGTGGCGCTGCCGGTTAATGCGGTAAACTGCAACGTCGGTTTGGGCCGTTAAGGCCGGCCATTCCAACTCACCAGCTGCTCCTTGGAAACCCTGACTCTTAGCAACAACAACATCCATTATAGCCACACCCTCAAGGAAGCGTGTCTTAAGTTGATTGGCTGCTCAGAGCCCCTCATAGAGTTAACTACGCCAGTGCTAGGTTTCATTACCATGGGACACATCCCAACTGTCAAACTTCTGGAAATCCTGGCCTAGTCAAATTGACACAAAACCCGAACCACTACATTCCGTGCTTGTCAACTTGGCATCTATAAACCATATACATAATCTCTAAAATTATAAAGTCACACTTGCGCCTAATATATAACTAAAACAGTACAACCGAAAACACATTATATCTTAAACATTGCAAATCAAAGCAAAAGTCTTTGAAGTACACAAGGAAAACAATAAGAAAATTTATATATTTATTTAAACATCCAAAGGGCACATTCTGAAAGCCTTCTGTCTGTAGGCATACAACCTTGCTCAGTCCATGGGCTGAGTCTGAAGCTACTCTTTCCATGCCACCACCTCTGCTGTCACTGCTTTTGCAGGTACAGATCCCATGCTCCACTCATGCTCTTCTATAATGATGGTCCTGGGACCATTTGTTCTGAAATGAAAGGTAACTGCTTCCTGTGTTTAGTTACACATCTACAATTACAGATTTGACAATCAAAATTAATCCTACTAAAAATCATAATTGAAATTAAAATTCTATCAACTTCAGTCTCCATCTCCCTTTTACCAGACCCATCTGAAAAAGAAGGAAACTATTCAGTGGGGATTCTATAGTATCCCCTTTATTCTAAAATAAGCACACCCATGAAAGCTTGTAAGTCAGCCACTTCATGTGTTTATAGCCCCCCATTTTTGATAACCAATGTCTAAGTTTCCCGTCCCTAACAACCCAGTACACTGTGGAGACAAATGTGCTCTTTGAACTGAAGAATCTTCCATTCTGGTTGGATTTTTTTTTTTTTTTTTTTGGGGGGGGGGCTTTAAAGGGAGATTTTTTTTTTTTAATTTAAGGTTTTTATTGTGAATTGAGTGAAAGTTTACAGGGCACATCATCAATTTCACATTCAACAATTCATATAATTTGTTTCATTACATTAATTATAATCCCCTCCATATACCATCAGTTAAAAGTATTTCTCTTTATCCACTTTAGCTTTTTTTAAAAAAACACACAAACAAAAAAACCCACTCAGGCATATACAATAAATTACATCTCCAAAGGGCACATTCCGCAAGTCTGCTCCTGGCCACCAATTCTTAGTCCTTCTCTTCTTAGTTGATGAATCTAGAGTCCTCCATGACCCCATCTCTACCTCCATCTCTGGTGCTGCTA